ATTTTTAATTTAAGCTTTAAGGCGGTGTCCTAGTTCAACTTATTACTAAATTACCGGCTGTTTAGGGCTATATAGCTTCGCATAGCCTAAAAAATAAAGGAAAAAATACAAAAAAACGAAAAAAAAATAGGAAAAATAACATTGCCACCAAATACTTAAAAATAACCAAAATAGGTTTTTCTAGTTTTAAAACTATTTAGCCCAAGTTAAACAGCATTAAGTATTAAAATTAAGTCAAATCAAGACATAGCCTAATGCCTTTAAATTTTAATGAAGGTTGTAGTCGTAATTTATTTTCTTCTGTGATTTTTCTTCATAATATAGGACAATACTATAAATGATAAAAGTAAGAAGAAGTAGGAAAAGAATTAACAACGCTTCCTTTATTAATGATATAGGTTTTATGTTGGATATTATTTAAAAGTAAAATATTAGACATTCAATAAACAGTATGATGGAGCTTAATATTTTACTTATTCTTTATTTATTTCCTCTAATCTTAAGAAATTGGTAGATCCTGTTTATTTAGAAATTCATAGCTTAGATAGGCTAATTTAATTTTTTATAGGTTAATTATTATTTTGAAAAATCTCGATACCGTGAGTATGGTGCATCTCTGCTTTAGATGAAGCATTTATCTATCAAATGTCACAACTTATCTATAAATATAAATAATTAATTTTCGTAAAGCTTTAATATGGTTCTAGTATTTAATGATTTGATAAAATTCTCTATTAATTTCCTAAATCCTAAGTTAATTCCTCAAGATAAATTTTTTTTTAAAAAGGGGGGGGGGGGGTATAGTGTATAAATAAATGCAAGGGGTTAGGGGATGTGATAATTTTGATTTATTTTTATTTTTGCAAAATATTTACTGGATTTTCTTATTTTTGTGTCGGTGGTGTGGGAAGGGGGAAGGGTATGAAAGGAATGTAGAATAACTTACATTGATGAATAGGTGGTTTATTAGAAATGCACCTTATTCTCTATTCTTATCATAGATTCAGCGACTTTTAAAAAAACGTGGGACCTTAGAGGTTGCCAATCAGATAAAGAAGACAACTAATCATCATTAAGGTTACAACTATTTGACAAAATATAGGCTATGTTTACCCCCCCCCCCCCTTCTCCCCTTGCAAAATATTTTAAGGTAGAAAAGCTTACACTCTTGGCAGAATAATCATTTTGACTTCTTTTACCGGTGACTCAAGGCATATTGCATCAGCTTTATCAGGACACAATGGCTACTGTACGCTGCTTTGGTAAGCCTGCATTATTTATTACTTTCACCTGCAACCCTAAATGGGATAAAATTATGCGCGAATTATTTCTTCATCAGACTCCAAACAAACGCCCAGATTTAGTTTGTCGCGTTTTTCATTAATAATTAAAATGTCTTAAAAATGATTTGCTTTATTATCATGTTCTTAAAAAAGTAATCGCTAATGTGGATGTCATAGAATTCCAGAAAAGAGGGTCATATGTGTCTTATACTTGATAAATTGAAGTATTTACTGAGCTTATGCTGTTTCAAATTATTAGTAATTGTAACACACATGGACCATGTGGTTTAACATTTCCTTATAGTCCCTGTATGATTGATGGAAAATGTTCAAAAATATATCCTAAAATAATTTGTGGACACCTTTTCTATGGATACGTGTTGTTATCCTTTATATCTGCGACGAAATGATGGCGTTAGCTTCCAAAAAAATTAAACGGATTTATATTTAACAACTGTTGGATGGTATCTTATACTAGCCTTTATCTAAAAATATGATGTACATATAAGCGTATAAATTTTCTCTTCGGTTCAGTCCGTAAAATAGATATATAGATATAGTATATTAAATGGCATAAAAACCTATTATTCTACCAATACTCAACTTTGCAAAGTAAATGATTGTAAATTTTTCTAATAATAAATTTTAGCAATTTTAATAGAATATTTAATTATTTTGAGTATACCTACTATATCAAGATCAATTGTAAATATTGCTGGGCTACAAATTTTGCAAAGTAATAAATAATATATCCTTCTAATATCTTAATTTAATTAATTTTAGATAAAGTATATTAAATGGCATAAAAACCTATTATTCTACCAATACTCAACTTTGCAAAGTAAATGATTGTAAATTTTTCTAATAATAAATTTTAGCAATTTTAATAGAATATTTAATTATTTTGAGTATACCTACTATATCAAGATCAATTGTAAATATTGCTGGGCTACAAATTTTGCAAAGTAATAAATAATATATCCTTCTAATGTCTTAATTTAATTAATTTTAGATAAAGTATATTAAATGGCATAAAAACCTATTATTCTACCAATACTCAAAGGCATAACTATGCCTCATTCATAAAATGTCGATAAAACTACCTAAATAATTTGATGGACACCTTTCTATGGATAATATTGTTATCCTTTATATCTGTGACGAAATGATGGCGTTAGCTTCCGAATAAAAATTAAACGGATTTATATTTAACAACTGTTGGATGGTATCTTATACTAAGCCTTTATCTAAAAATATGCATGTACATATAATCGTATCCAAATTTTTCTGCTATACAGTCCGGATCATTCTCCGACAGTCTATCACTAGACTCGTCTACCAAATCAATTGATCCTTTCTACTAAAGTGCTGATTTAAACAATATCTTAGCTAATATTCCTGGTACAACATTAAAGAAATGGTTTAAAATTAATGCTTTTGAAACAAGTGCCAGACAATATATTTATGCAGATTTTATACGATATTATGTGGATTAATGGTCGTATACGCACAGTTCCTCCTAAAGAGGGTGAAGTTTTTATTTTAAGACTCTTATTAATTATGTAGCTGGGCCAGCCATAGAATTGCTATGGCATTCTCTGGATTATGAAATGCAGGATCATTCTCCGACAGTCTATCGATTAGACCTTCGTCTACCAAATCAACAATTGATCCTTTTTCTACTAAAGTGCTGATTTAAACAATATCTTAGCTAATATTCCTGGTACAACATTAAAGAAATGGTTTAAAATTAATGCTTTTGAAACAAGTGCCAGACAATATATTTATGCAGATTTTATACGATATTATGTGTGGATTAATGGTCGTATACGCACAGTTCCTCCTAAAGAGGGTGAGGTGCATAGCTCAGAAATTGCACGGATTATTTTACTACGTTGATGATCTATCTAAGCATTGATCTCGAATATTGCATATAAGCTATGATTCTCTGGTTATAATATCGTAATAGATACTGTTATAGAGAGACTACACACCTTTTCCAAAAATGTGATAGTACATATGATGCTCGATATATCTGCCATAGAATTGCTATGGCATTCTCTGGATTATGAAATGCAGGATCATTCTCCGACAGTCTATCGATTAGACCTTCGTCTACCAAATCAACAATTGATCCTTTTTCTACTAAAGTGCTGATTTAAACAATATCTTAGCTAATATTCCTGGTACAACATTAAAGAAATGGTTTAAAATTAAGTTATGTAACTACTGCTTATCAATATGCTGTAACTACCAATATGATGCTCGATATATCTGCCATAGAATTGCTATGGCATTCTCTGATTATGAAATGCAGGATCATTCTCCGACAGTCTATCGATTAGACCTTCGTCTACCAAATCAGACAATTGATCCTTTTTCTACTAAAGTGCTGATTTAAACAATATCTTAGCTAATATTCCTGGTACAACATTAAAGAAATGGTTTAAAATTAATGCTTTTGAAACAAGTGCCAGACAATATATTTATGCAGATTTTATACGATATTATGTGTGGATTAATGGTCGTATACGCACAGTTCCTCCTAAAGAGGGTGAGGTTTTTTATTTAAGACTCTTATTAATTATGTAACTGGGCCAACATGCTTTGAAGATATTGTAGTAATACTTTTTAAGATGCATGAATTCGATATGGTATGTTATCTGATAATATCGAATGGAACCATTGTTTAGAGAAAGGTCTCTTCTTTAAGATGCCATATCAATTGCGCCAGTTATTTTCTGTTATTTTATTACATTGTGAGCCTAGAGATCTTGTTATTTTATGGCATACCTTTAAATATTTCCCTTGTGAAGATTTTGTCAAAAAAAGATCTGCAATTTTATTAATGATATTATGTGGATTTTAATGGTCGTATATTTAACAGTTCCTCCTAAAGAGGGTGAAGTTTTTTATTTAAGACTTTATTAATTATGTAACTGGGCCAACATGCTTTGAAGATATTGTAGTAATACTTTTTAAGATGCATGAATTCGATATGGTATGTTATCTGATAATATCGAATGGAACCATTGTTTAGAGAAAGGTCTTTCTTAAGATGCCATATCAATTGCGCCAGTTATTTTCTGTTATTTTATTACATTGTGAGCCTAGAGATTCATATTTTATAAATATTTCCCTTGTGAAGATTTTGTCAAAAAAAGATCTGCACTGCCGGAATACCTTATCAGCGAAAATCGCGCGCTGTGCCCTATCAATCAAATTTTAATTCAAAATGGTAAATCTCTTAAGGATTTTTTGGGCAGGCCTATTCCTTTATTATCCACTCAATCTTTGCTAAAGTTGATATTAGGTATCACCTTATTCAGGAGGAAGTACGATACCTATGATATGCTTAAAAAATATTTGGCTATCTACATTTTATTTAATGATCAAAATATTATCTATGCCAAAATTATGTCTTTACTCTCCAATCCACTTCATCCCATAATTTATTTTTAAAGATGGCTGGGGGCACTGGAAAATCATTTCTTTTAAATACATTATTATATGAGTTAAGAGTTCAAGGCAAAATTGCAATATCTGTTGCATCTTCTGGCATTGCTTCAACCCCTCTTCATAATGGCCACATTGTACATTTACGTTTCCACATCTCTCTAAATATTCATGAAAGTTCCTCGTGTAATATATCTTACCAAAGGCAAATAGCTGAATTGATAAGACAATCGGTAATTATAATATGGGACAATATCGATGATGCATAAACAAATATTCCCGGCCATGGATAGGTCATTCCAGGATATAATGAAATTGAATAAACCATTTGGTGGTAAAATTATAATTTTTGGCGAAGATTTTAGACAAATTTTACCTGTTATTAAATATGGTGGAAGATGCGACATTGTTAACTCAACCTTAAAACGGTCGTATTTATGGTCGCATATATTCCCATTAAGGTTAGGAATTAATATGAAATTGCTACAATTTCACGAGGCAAATGAATCTCTTATCAATAATAATTACTCAAATTTTCTTTTAAGAGTTGGTAGAGGCTATGAGACATTTGATGGCTCCAAAATTCATGAAGATTGTTTTATAGCTTCCAATGATATCGTGGATCTTATCGCTTTTGTTTACAGTTTCAAAAAGACAATACTTCCTTTAACCGTGCATCATTTCTCAAAATGTCACCCTGACCCCTAAAAACGTAAATGTCGATTCCATAAATATTCAATTGATTAACAAATTTCCTTGGGATTTAATTATATATATACAAGTGCTGATGAAACAATAATCGAAGAAGAAGCAACATTTTATCCCACTAAATATTTAAACTCAAATATATCAGGATTACCACCTCGCAAACTTTCACTCAAAATCGGGTATCTATAATGTTAATGCGTAATTTAAATTCTGCTTCTGGTTTGAGCTAAGGGACTAAATTGATTGTAATTACTTTGCGACCATACCAAATATAATTGAGGCGGGATTTGTTTCTGTTTCTCGGCACTAGAGTTTCCATTCCTAGAATAAGTTTAATTGCAACTAATTCTGGCTTACCATTTTTTTTAAGCGCGGATAATTTCCCGTGGGACTTGCTTTTGTCATGACAATTAATAAAAAGGGACAAACATTGAACAAAGTTGACATCTATTTACCTCATCTTGTCTTTTAACATGGACAGCTATATGTAGTTATGTCTCGAGTTTGTTCTTATTATAAACTAAAGATTATGACCTATGATAAAACAAGAACTACAACCAATGTGGAGTAGTATCGTGTATGTATCCTATTAATCCCGGTTTATACGAATACGAAAGAACAATACTTGAATATAATTTAGATAAATTTATATCTATTTTAAGCATCCTACCTATTTTTAAAGCTATCTATTTTTCCGGGTCGACCAATATGACCTTTAATCTCTGATGAATATTTTGTATAAATAACATAAAAATATACATGGAACATTGTAATGTATTAATATAAATTAAATATAAATTGTTTAATTTGGTTTTAAGCTACAATATATTGTAATAGATTAAATAGATAAACGATTTTATAAAAGTATATATGGATATATATTTTCAGACTTATTAAATAAAAAAGCTACAACTTATTGTAATAGATTAAATAAATAAACGATTTTTAAAAGTATATAGATATATATTTTCAGACGTATTAAACAAAAAGGTTAAAATTATACTATTATTAAACAAAAAGGTTAAAATTATACTATGCCTAACGAAGACTAGAAGAATATTTCTGAAGAAAAACGAAGACATATTCCAGAATTCGTCAAAGAAAAAGTGAATTACGTATATAATATTGAACTCAAAAGTAAAAAAATATTGTTGATCGAAATAAAAAAAAAGATTTATTATTAGCATACATAGGTACTGATAACTTAATTAAAATTAAAAATTTCTGCTACCCAAATAATTTAGAGAGCGTTAATTATTTATCTTTACTTGATAGTCTAGAGAAAATAATTAAGGATATTTCTAATTTTCCTACATCGCAATAATTTTTATACTTTAAAAATAGGCGGTGAAACTATTATCGGTTTTTGAATCAAATTGAAAAGTATTTGTCCTTTATATAATTTTAATCGCCGGTTGATGAACTCTTAAGAGATATTTTAACCTTAGGTAGGGTTGCCTGAGCTGGACAAAAAACTTCTATCAAAATATACCGAAAGAAATATCACTTTTGAAGTTACTGTGCGTTTAGCGATTGCGCTGTCTTCATTGGAAAAGGAAACCCAGGTAAAAGATAATAAAATAATTAAACATGAGCCTACACAAGGTTCCAAAAATATTTATTTTAGAAATAATTGTAAAATCATTAATAAATTCAATAATAATTATTATTATAATGCTAGACTTTTAGACGAAGGCGTTAACGAGAAGGTTGATCCAATAACAACTCCAATAACTTGGGCTACGCCAACGTTTTATAGAAATCTGGTGCCTTGCGGATATGCAGAGATTTTCGTTTAGAAATCAACAAATATTTAGCGATAGATAATGATTTATTACCAACTTTCGTTGATCTGACAAATGATCGCGGGTGGTAAAATATTTTCAACGATAGATTTGAGAGTTGCATTTTTACAATTTAGAGTTAGTCCAGAATGTAGGACCTTTTAGTAATTCTGATTCATGTCGGTTTTTACCGATACCAAAGAATCCCATTTGGGTTGACTAGCGCTCCGATAATATTTCAACGCTTTATGCAAAACCTTTTAAAGGAATTCCTATGGTTAGTGTTTTTTAGACGACAATATTATTGCAGGTGAGAATAATTTTGATCACATTGTTAATCTAGAAGAAGTATTAAGAAGATTTGATAAGGCTGGACTGACAACGACGACCGATAAAATTAATTTGAGAAAAGTGAGTTACTTATTTAGGTCATGTTATTAGAAGATAGGATTTATGCCATAAAAATTTGAAAAACACCGTCTAATGTTAAAGTATTACTTTCGTTTCTTGGATGGTAAGTTACCATGAGTCTTTTATAAAAAATTTATACTCTATCTGTGCGCCTTTACACCGACTAACGAATAAAAATGTTAGTTGCTTTTGGTCAGCTAAATAAAATGAAATATTTAATAGTTAAAAATATATTATCAAAAGAAAATACAATAATTCCTTATTCAGCCGATATTCTTATCGTGATTTCTTGTGACGCTTCCGAAGATGGTCTAGGAGCTGTTATTGCACACCGATATCTTACTGGCTAGGAGAAACCGATTGCTTACGCATCGAGGACACTTTCGGCATCTGAAAAGAATTACGCCACCATTGATCGGGAGGCTTCGGCGATCTTCGAGAAGTTTCATCAATATATTTATGGAAGACTTTTTATTTTGGTTACAGATCATATACCTTTAAAATATATCTTAGGTGATAAAAGAGACCTAAATAAAATAACAAGTAACCGTTTAATATGGTGGGCGATGAAGCTATTAAGAATATGAGATATAGACCTGGTAATCAAAACAAATGTGCCGACGCTCTGTCCTGTTTGGGGGTAGAGAGAGCGAAAACCAATGAAGTTACAAAAAAAATCGAAGATGAAATCAGAGAATTAAAAATTAATTTAATAGAAGATTTATCTTTCACTCGGAGAAAGTCGTAATTGAAACGAGCAATGATATCAATCTGAAAGAGATTATTAAATAAATTAAAAATCATTGGTATATCTTTAATATAAATAATTATTTGGAGATTTAAAAAAAATTTATTTTAATTAAAAATAATATTTCGTTCGAAGAAGGATTATTATTTTATAATGATAGGATTATTAATTCCGATAATCTAAAGAAGGAGGTTTTGAATGGTATTCTTCAAGGACATCCTGGGATAATGGGGATAAAATCATTATGTAGATACTATGTTTTTTTGACAAATCTTGAAGATATCGTTAAATGCTGCAAGAGTTGTCAGGAATAGAGGATCGGGAGCCAGAGAAGTGCCGTTATACAATTTGAACATTCCTACCCGATCTTGGGAACGAATACACATAGATTTGACAGGCCCTATATCTGGAAAATATTGGATAATTTGGGTAGACGCTTCACCAAATGGGTTAAAGTTGCAATTTTAACACATAATTCGGCGAGTGTAATAAATAATCTGCGTAATTATTTCGTTAGATTTGATTTACCTCGCTACATTGTCTCAGATAACGTTACTCAGTTTACTGGATCTCATAAAACATTTAAGATCGGCCCCTTATAGCCCCAAATCGAATCGTTTGACTGAGCGTTATATATGTACTATAAAGACGTGTTTATATGCTGGAAGGAGATGTGGAACTCCCAGCCAATTAAATTTAGCGAATTAGTTACTTACCGAAATACACCAAATGCAACTACCGGTAAATCCCCTGCCGAAAGGATGTTTGGAAGGCCGTTCAGGACGACGTTAGATAAATGGAAATTATATATGAGGGAAAGAACTGAAAACGCATTATAGAAACAAAAATATTATAAAGATAGGAACGTTGAGCCGTGATTTTGAAGAGAAGCAAAAGGTTTGGGTTGAAAAAGAAAGGATTGCGGGATGGCAAGAAGGGACAGTGGTTCAACGGAAAAGTGCGATATTGTATGAAGTTAAATATGAGGGTATTGTTAAAAACAAGTAATCCGACCAACTGAGGGATGCTCATGTACAAGCTAAGGAAACACCCATAACAATGACTGAGGATTTGGACATTGCAGAACATAATGGAAATACAACTCTAGAAAAAAGGGTGGCAAAATCAACATTACGTTATCATGATGAATTCAATTTGTAGTGGGGAGAACTGTAATGTATTAATATAAATTGTATTTTGTTAATTTGGGTTTAAGCTACAATTTATTGTAATAGATTAAATAGATTAACGATTTTGTAAAAATATATATAGATATATATTTTGTTATTGTAAACATATAATATATTTTTATACACAAATAAATCACTTCATTTCATTTGTTATTTTTATTAATTATATAAATTTATATCTATTCTTAAGGATCCTACTTTTTTAAAGCTAGCCATTTTGTCAGACCGATGAATGCTCTATTATCCCTGCTTATTATTTTGCATAACTTACAAAAAAATATACATAGTACATTATTTTTAATATTTAAATAATATTATATAGTAATTTATATCTAAAAAAGAGGATATTTAGTACAATTTTTTTTTATTTAATGAAAATTATATATCTATTCTTAAGGAACCTACCTTTTTTAACGATACTACTTATTATTCCTGCTAATTATTTTATATTCAATAAAAAAGACTATACGTTGTTTTCTATTTTTATTATTTAAATAGAATTTTACATTTATTCCAAAAAAACAATATATAGTAAAATATTTTTATTATTTAAATTTCTATATCTATTACAAGGGTCCTATTTTTTTTTTTTGTCAATTGGTCTCTCCGAATATTATATTATTTTTATGTTGATTATTTTGTAAAACATGATTCACTATTTTTTTTTATTTAAATCGGATATAAGGAAAAATACAAAGTATGATATTTATATTATTTAATTAAAAATATATATCATTTCCTAAGAATCCTACTTTTTTTAAAGGTTACCCATATTTGTATCCCCGCACAATATTCCCCTCTATTTTATTTTGCATAAATCATAAAAGGACGATACATAGTATGCTATTTTTATTATTTAAATAATATTATATATCTAATCTTAAATATCTTACCTTATAAAAATAACTTGAGAATTGGTTCTCTGAACAATATTCGTATTTATTCGCAATATACTTACTATTTTGAATAAATTTATTAAATATTTTTATAATTTTATTTATCATTGTTTCCGTTCAATAAATAAGCTATTGATAATACACTCATTTATATTATGGCGATACATTAATTTTTTTTTAATTGACCTACTCTACCCCATACCTATATTGTATTTTAATTTTTTATAAAACTTTGATATCCCATGCTTTGTGATTCATCACTATTTGTTACTCACCACTATTTGTAATTCATGGCTCTCTGATTCTGTGCCATTTGTAATTCCCGCCCTATTATTTTAATTTAATAAGAAATTCATTATTTATATTGATAATAATTATTTTTAAATGTATTTTACAATAGATTTAAATGCAATGTTTGTTTATTAGCGTTCCTACCCCCCCCCCCCCCCACCCCGTATATTTTTTACTATCCCCAATATAGGATCTACCCATACTCCCCTCCCCTCAATAATCTATAAATATTCCCACCTGTAGTACTTTTTAATTATAATTGTAATCCTTTCATATATTTTGGAAATAATATCCTACATTATCTTACTATTACAAAATATGAAAAGGAAGGTGAAGATTTGAATATAAATTAAATTTAAAAGTTCAATTCACAACAAATGTAATAATAGTGTATATTTTGAAATGAATTTAAGCCAGTGGCGTCGCTAGGAGGGGGCGCGCAGGAGCTCGAGCCTTCTGAAAAATTTGAATAGCCCAAGCAAAAAAAAATTTATTAAATTGCTTTTTAATATCCCCTTGAACTAAAAATAAATTTTTTTAATTGCCCCCTGAACGATTTCTTTTATAATTTTATTGAGTAATATATAGATTTAATTTTATTATTTAAAAATTAATAAAACTATCTAAATTTTTATTAAATGAATACTATTTTAATTATTAGATTAGATTATACATATAAATTATATGTTCACTCTGTCAGCTTGCCATCAAATTCTGTGTTAAAAATATATCTATATCACTCACTAAATATTAATTTAGCATTAACAGTTGAAGCTTAATTGACTTTTATTATTTAAATTATTATATAACCTTAATTAAATAAATATAATCATTTATTAATTGAAAATTAACAAATTTAATATTGTAATTAGCCGAGTTCAAAATCACTAATCAACTACATTTTGATTTTTAATTTTAATTATCATGTCTCTTCCTAAAATTATTTTCAAGGTCTAAATATAAATGAGTATAAGATATTTATTATAAAAAGTAAGTAGATAAATAGTTTATAATCCATTATAATATATAATTATGTATAAAATATTAGGTAAAATGCCACTTTTACAGACATTTTTGACAGTTATATAATGTATTACAGTTAATAATTTTAAAATTTTAATAATAATGCTTTTGATAATAAATAGTAACAATTTGCATTCAATTATTTAACGCCATCTATTTATTAAATATATTATTAAAATTAAATTTCTTATTATTCATCCCACAATGGATGTAATAAATTAGATATCTTTTCTTTTTTTACGTGTTTTTAGGAAAGCTATTTTATTCTTCTTTGAAAAACAGTTTTGAGTTAAATTTTTAATACGAATATATTTATGATACTATTACAATCTATTATTATTTTAAGATATAATAAACCAACTAGAAGTGGTGCGACAATAATATATAAAATCTTAATTACTTTCATCATTGTTGTAATTAAAGTTTTATTTTGTTATAAATTTCAATGTAATGTCAAGAATATGTCAATAAATTATTATTCAAATTATTCGGATTTTGATGAAGATGAAATAAATTCTTTTGTTCATTAAGTTACAAAATATATAATATTATAATAGCCTCTCTTTGTCATCGTTATAATAATTTGGTGCCGAAGTGAGGCTAGTAATCTGGTCTTCAGTCTAATTTCAAGAGAAAAAATAATTATTGATGGACAATTATATTACAAATTTATGGTATGCTCTATCAAAACCAAATAACGTAGACAAAGGAACAACTAGTGTAGTATTGGGTAAATGAAGGAAAATAGACATAAAAATATACGAGATGGTATGTGATAATGATTTAATTATACTTGGCTGAATATATATTTAACAATAAATTAGTTGATAAATTTCAGGGAATTATTAGTAGTTAGGAGATTTATGTAGAGAAATAAATTTTAGGATAAGTTATTGATAAATTTAATAATCAAAATATTTAATGTGATAAATAAGTTTATATTAGTTATAAATAATTTGTTAACTGATATTATATATTAGAAAACAGGGGCGTCGTTAGCCTTCATAATCTCAGGGGGCTCAACTAAAAAAATTTTATGGGGACCTTCGCCCCCATACCCCCCAATTAGCGGACCCCATACCCCCCAATTTGCCGGCCTACGGCCGGGTTTTATATTAATATATTATACTTTTTTAAAATTTGTTAACTCTGAACAATTTTTCTGATTTTCATATTTTGTCATTTATTATACTAGTAGAAAGCCCGTCAAAAATGACGGGGAATGGGATTTTTATTCTTTTTTTACGATAGATGTCATGCCAGGTTCAAGCTCACAATATTAGGAAACATCCAAGATCTTTTAATTTTAAAAAAGTTTATCAAGCCCAGCTCAACCCTTAATAACGCGAATTGGATAAATTATTATTTATATTAACTCCTAGTGAAGTGAATGACAGTGCGGAATTATTTGCTCTTATATTTGTTAAAAAGTGGGATGATGAACAATGATCCCCGATAAATAAACGTAATAAATTTGGTGGTAATTGGGAAATTTTAAATAAAAATACCTTCCCATTCAAGCAACATGTAGAAAACTGAATATTTCTACATGAGCTTTTTGATAATTTTTCTCCGTTCCACATTTTAGCATTGCAGAAGGCGCATATTTCTGTCATATTTCCTATATCTAATATAGGTGAGTGGTGGTCATCAAATATATGCCGAAATATGCATGGTAGAGGTGCCATAGGGAATGAGTGGTTATAGAAATATCAGTTGAAGGTATCTGGGTGAATATAAAATATACCTATATATATAAAACATTAAAAACCTGCAGGGGAGTTAATATCAGGCGTAGGACCTTATTATCCTGCATACCTGTAATTCTAGAACGGGTAAGGCGTTTGTTGAATCGCCATTTTTTTATTTGCTTATCTTTAATAGAAATATCATGTTTTGTAGCTATGTGAGGGATCAAGTTTGGGTTAACCTAAAAAAATAAGGAAATCAGGCAAAAATATACATTATTATCGAGATAAAACGAACATTAAAATACTGTACTGAACCTGTAAAGGGGTCAATATATGCATATCTCTAGTAGTTGGGAGGCTATCATCAAAAAATAAAATTTGTCTATTTGGGGACTTATCAAGACTATTATGTTTTTCTGAACATTTATTTTGTATTTTTTGATAATTAATGGTAGATATATCAATATTTAAACAATTATAAGGAGGAAATAAAGCAGGGTTTGTTATCTAAAATAAAAACAAATAAAAAATTTTTAAAAAATGAATGCGTTAAACTTGCAGAGGAGTCAAGATTAGGATCAACCCCCTAGAAATAGTGGGAATATCATCAGAAGCTAAAATTGAATTCTAAAAAATAAAAAATATAAGAACATTTATGCCTTTTTACTATATATATACACACTAACTTTATTTTATGTTGTTAGTATATTTTGCTGGGATTCACAATCCCTATAGCTATTCATTTGTTGATTGACCTGCCATCTTTTTCTTTCATTAATGACGGATAAATCACCATCTGTACAATTAGTAAATGAGGTTAAGACAGGGTTTATTATCTAAAATAAAAACAAAAGAATAATTTAAAAAATATAAATGAATTGAACCTGAAGAGGAGTCAATATAAGGTTCAACTCCCTAGAAATAGTGGGAATATCATCAGAAGCTAAAATAAATGTATTCTAAAATATAAAAAAATATAAGAACATTTATGCATCATATATATACAGCGTCTACATGACAGGATTTTCACTGGATGCAAACCCCCTTCAAAAACCTTTGCCTACCCCCATAAAAAATTGTTGCCGCCTTCGGCGGCGGTGTCTTTTTATCATTATTTTCACCTATAATTTATAAAGGATAACTTAAATTAATCTATCTCTACTACCAATTATCGATATTTTGTGAATATAAAGAATTTACTTTTTAGATAATAAATTCAATTAAAACCTCCATTATTTACAATGAATTAATTATTATGGCATTATGAGCTTGCTTAAATATCTAAATCTTTTAAATTACATTTAAAAGGATAGTTTATTTGGAAAACTATGTGTATGATTGTTTGCAATATATAGATTTGGTCGATGAATTGTATTATAATAATACTATAATAAAAGTATTAATTTTTACAGCAATAAATTTTGTCCTATTTCATCTCAAAATTTAATAGATAACCCCCAAAAAATTTATCCTACCCCCATTAAAGCAGCTTACCCCCTGCCCCCTCATAAAAATAGGATGCAAACTGTTCCTACCCTTCCCGCTCATGTAGACGCTGTATATATATATAAGGCTAACTTTATTTTGCGTTCCTAGTAGATTTTGTAGGGTCTCACGATCCCTAGTGCGTTTCATTTTTTGATTGACCTGCCATCTTTTTCTTTTATTAATGACGGATAAATCACCACCTGTACAATCATTAAGTGAGGTTAAGACAGGGCTTGTTATCTAAAATAAAAACAAAAGAATAATTTTAAAAAATAAATGCATTGAACCTGATGAGGAGTCAATATACCACCTGTACAATCATTAAATGAGGGTAAGACAGGGCTTGTTATCTAAAATAAAAACAAAAGAATAATTTTAAAAAATAAATGCATTGAACCTGATGAGGAGTCAATATACCACCTGTACAATCATTAAATGAGGGTAAGACAGGGCTTGTTATCTAAAATAAAAACAAAGAATAATATAAAAAATATAAATGCAATGAACCTGAAGAGGAGTCAATATTAGGTTCAACTCCCTAGAAATAGTGGGAACATTATCAGAAGCTAAAATAGATGTATTCTATAATATAAAAGAGTATAAAAAAATATATATAAGGCTAACATTATTTTGCGTTGTTAGTAGATTTTGTGCCTCGCTATTCCTAGTGCGTTTCTTTTTTTGATTGACCTGCCATCTTTTTCTTTTATTAATGACGGATAAATCACCACCTGTACAATCATTAATTGAGGTTATGAGGCTTGTTATCTAAAATAAAAACAAAAGAATAAATAAAAAACATATTAATGTATTAAACCTGAAGAGGAGTCAATATTAGGTTAACATCTCTAGAAATAGTGGGAATATCATCCATCAGAAGCTAAAATAGATGTATTCTAAAATGAAAAGTATAAGCATTTTTAGTATATATAGATGAATAACTTTATTTTGCATTTGTTTAATTGGGCTTCACGTCATATGACCCAGTATAATTTTTTGCTTGAATATGAGTTGAATTAAGAATTGAATGATATTTATTTTTTGATAAACCCAGCTTTCGGCTGGAGTGTGTAGCATGAGGTAGGGAAATAAGAGAAAATTAAATGGAAAGAAAATAGGGAAATTAAAAGGAAAAGGAAGGTAAAGATAAAGAAAAAGAAAATTAAAAAGTGAAGATAGGGAAGGGAAATGATGAGAAAGGGAAAGATAATAAAAGAAATTAAAAGGGAAAGAAAGGAAAAGAGAATTTTAGTATTTTTTAAATTTTGATTTTTCCCATATTATTTGAGACTGTTGTTAAAATAATGAATGTTAGTGATATCTTTAGTAGGGATACATATGTTGTCGGCATAGCATAATCAGTATACATTTAGTATGTTACTGAAAACTACTTTGAGTTAAAATATATATCTTTATAAAAATATTAACATAAGACTAACATTTAACATTAAAAAATCCAAATATAAGTTCAAACCTACAATATCTGGAAAAATTATTCAAGCATCCAAGATCTTAATATTTAAAAAGATTTTCTCAAGCCCACCTCAATCCCTCATAATTTTGAAACCAAGCCCAGAGATATTAAATTTATAATTAATGAAGGGGAAATCTCTGATTTATCAATTAGTCTACGGGTAAAATATATTACTTTATAAAAATAATAACATAAGACTAACATTTAACATTAAAAAATCCTATAGGTTTAATTTTGAGAAATATTTTTTAAGCCCAGTCCAACCCATAATAAAGAGAATCATGACAAAATAACGTCTGCCCTTGTGAAGAGAAATTCAGTTTAATTTAACACAATTTAATAGACTTATAATATTTAAAATTTTCAAAACAGGGAAATGTGATTGAATAAGGCAATTTATATGAAGTAGTTACTTGAAATTTTGTGATATTTAGTGATACAGTGAAAGTTAGTGTTAAAGAGTAACCCAGTTTACATTAATCATAATTTTTTAACCACATAAGATCAACCTGCATTCAAATTTCCTATTTTTTAATTAACACTTTCTTGATTAAATTTACACAACGCTTTAACTTAATTAAAGATTCTTATTCTTAATCTATAAAGTAGATAAAATAATTAGTATAATTAACTTAATTTAATATTCTTATTTAAATATTTAAACTTCAGAAAACAAACAGATATAAGTGAATAAGGCAATTATAAGGATTAGTTGCCTGAAAGGTTTTGTGATATTATAATGAAGAGTATGGAGTGAAAAGTGTAAGTGTAATGTAAGTATTAAAAGAGTATATATCTTTTCTTTTTTATAAAAAGAATTTAGCTTAATTTAATAATCTTACTTCTTCTAATATTTAACTTATGAAATCAGTGAAAAGGAAACTTTGATTAAGTCTGTTTTAGAGTGCCTTTATTTAGAGAATTTTTTTAAATAACTGGCACTCCGATTTCAGGAATTCAAAGAAAATGATGAACTTGTTCGTCCAAGCAATATTATTTATAGTTCTAAATCGCTAAAAATATGAAAAAATATAGTATATTTAAAAATAAATTCAAGGAAAACGATTAACTTGTTGAACCATCGTCCAGGCAGTATTATTTATAGTTCTAAATCGCTAAAAGTAATAATCTCTAAAAATTGGTAGGATCATCTGTTTGTATAAAATAAATAAATAAAATCAACAAATAAACAAAATAAAAATAAATACGTACCGATGACATTACGTAGCGATGACATGACGTAACGATGACATGACGTCACCATGACGTAGTGAGGACATCGGAAAATTATAATATAGATAGATTATGCATACAAAATAAACTGGCATAGAAAAAATCACATAATGCAATAATATAATTCTTATCAACTTACATTGACAAAAAGTTATCAAACTAGTATAATTCTCTGTAACCATTTTAGACAATGTTTTATAGAATGGACTAATAAGGGAAAATTTATAGGCCTAAACCAAATCAACAATTTTTGAAGGAGAGAGTATAAACGACCAATCCAAATCATAAAACTATATGGTGGTTAGAGCTTCCTCTTAGATGACATGATGGAAGCTAGATAAGTAATCGAGAAAATTATTGTGAGATATTAAATTTCTAAAAGATTATCTTCCATTTTAAATGATATATAAACGACTAAACAGCCATTATTGTTTACCTAAAATATGCAATTATATGCTCTCAGCCGTTATAGTAATAATCTTAATTAAATTACAAGCAACACAAATAATAGATGCTGGTTAATTTGCATTAATAGTCATGACTAGTGTTGTTAATCGACTGAGTCGAGTCGACTGAGTCGAAAACTGAGTCAAGTTTTGGGTCAAAAATATCGACTCAAACTGACTTGAGTTATAAACTCAGGTCATGAACTCAAGTCATCAACTCAAGTTCATAAAATATTCGTCCTCTTGGATTAGAGGACGAATATTTTATGAACTTGAGTTGTCGACTAGAGGAAGAATATTTTATGAACTTGAGTCGTCGACTAGAGGACGAATATTTCAGATCTATTATTATTTATTATTAATTAAGATAGTTTTGTATTTTACTATTTTCGACTTCCAACTTGAGTCGTGACTCGTGAATATAATTATATAGTTGAGTCGACTAGAGGAAGAATATTTCTATGAACTTGAGTCGTCGACTAGAGGACGAATATTTCAAATTTGGTATTATTAATTAAGATATTTTTTGTATTTTACATTTCCTACTTTAGACCTTTATGACTCGTTAAGTTATTATAAATTATATTATAGTTGTGTTGGCTAGAGGACCAATAGTTCTATGAACTTGAGTCGACTAGAGGAAGAATATTTCAAATTAGTTATTATTATTTAAGATATTTGTTGTTATTTACTTTTTACTTTAGACCTCCAACTTGAGTTGTGAATACAAAATATATAGTTGTTGACTAGAGGACGAATAGTTCTCTGAACTTGAGTCGTCAATTTAAGTCGACTAGAGGACGAATATTTCAAATTAATCATTATTTATTTAAAATATTTGTTCTGTTTTTTACATTTTTTTATTTTAGACTTCAAATTTGAATTGTGAAAATTGAAAAGAATTATATAAATGAGTCGACTAGAGGATGAATATTTCTATTAACTTAAGCCGTCTACTTGAGTCGACTAGAGGACGAATATTTGAAATTTGGTATTATTAATTAAGATATTTTTTGTATTTAAATTTCCTACTTTAGACCTTCATGACTCGTTAAGTTATTATAAATTTTATAGTTGTGTCGACTAGAGGACCAATAGTTCTATGAATTTGAGTCGACTAGAGGACGAATATTTCAAATTAGTTATTATTATTTAAGATATTTTTTTTTTACATTTTTTACTTTAGACTTTCATGAGTCGTTAATATAAATTATATAGTTGTGTCGACTAGAAGATCAATAGTTCTATGAACTTGAGTCGACTAGAGGACGAATATTTGAAATGTGGTAATATTAATTAAGATATTTTTTGTTTTTTACATTTTTTACTTTAGACTTTCATGAGCCGTTAATATAAATTATATAGTTGTGTCGACTAATCAATAGTTCTATGAACTTGAGTCGACTAGAGGACGAATATTTCAAAATAGATATTATTATTTAAGCTATTTGTTCTGTTATTTACATTTTACTTAAGACTTCCAACCTGTGTCGTGAATACAAAATATATAGTTGTCGACTAGAGGACGAATAGTTCTTTAAACTTTTGAGTCGTCAATTTGAGTCGACTAGAGGATAAACTTCTAATTAATTATTATTTAAGATATTTGTTCAGTTATTTACATTTTTTTACTTTAGACATCCAACTTGATTTAGGAATACAAATTATATAGTTGAGTCGACTAGAGGACGAATTTTTCAATGAACTAGAATCGTCAATTTAAGTTAACTAGAGGGCGAATATTTCAAATTAATTATTATTATTTAAGATATTTGTTCTGTTATTTATATTTTATTACTTAAGACTTCCAACCTGAATCGTGAATACCAATTATTTACATAATAATCTTATTCCTCATTTTATTTTATCAAATAAATTCTTATTAACATTTTTTGATTGAATACTCAAAAAAATTCTTATTTACATTTTTTTGATTGAATAATAATCTGAAATAATAAAATATTTTGCAGGTATCTGAATATTTTGAAATTATATCTCAACCGTATTTTGAATTTTATATAAGACAGACGTGTGATAATAATCAAACTATGAGATGACGGGTGAATCTTCTTTAGCACTCCTCCTCATCTGTATTTAATTTATTTTTAGTATTTCTAGTCCTTCTTTTAGGTAATTATTTTTTTTTATTTTAAATTAATTATTATTTAAGATTCATATACTTCATTATCTTATTCCTCTATTTATTTGATCAAATAAATTCTTATTAACATTTTTTGATTGAATACTCAATTAAATCCTTATTTACATTTTTTGAATGAATACTATATTCTCAAATAATATTTCGCAGGTATCTGAATATTTTGATTATATCTCACCATTATTTAAATTTTATATAAGAAAACCATACGTGTGATAATAATCAAAATTACGAGATGACGGGTGAATTTTCTTTAGAACACTTCCTTAGCTGTATTTAATATATATTTAGTATTTTTATAGTCCCTCTTTAGTCATTCTTTTAGATAATTATTTTATTTTATAATTAATGGTTAATAGCTTTTAAAATATTTAAAAAATCACCTCTTTAGTAAAGAATTATCTTATCTTAATCTAATCAAACAACAATTACATAATTTACTTTATTTTTCTGTTTCTAAATAAGATATAATAACATAAGAAAAAAATATTATATGGTATAACATAAGAAAAAAATATCAGTTATTCAAGGATAAACAATGCTTTAAGGTGGATGGTGACATCCTATTTCTTTTTTTCGTCAGGAAATCCACTGTCTTGCTAAAGGCTCTCTCACTCGGCACACTTGATGATTGCTGGGCAAGAAAATCTTTTGCAATCAGCGACAATGTAGGATAGATAAGGCTATTTTTTTCCCACCAATCTAGTATATACGTTGTAGGGGACGCTACTTTATCATCGAGATAATCCTTGTCATCTTTTATAAGATCAGGGAATTCATATGCCTCCCTAAAAATTATAATATAATATATTTTAATTACTTTCTCAATTCGTGATGCATGCAAACAGAATACGGCTGAGTATCCATGTCATCAGGAGAAAATTCGTAAACAATAGATCTATTAGATGGAAATTCAAAACCTTTATATAATATTTTAAACTTTTCCATATAGTTCGCCTTAACTAATATTATAGGCATATATTTAATTTTAGTTTTAGGATCAAGTAATGTAGCCACATAATTACTAAATGTGCTCACATAACTTTTATATGTCATACACTTTGTTAACATTTAATGCAGCATTCTTAATGGAATCATCATTATGATTTTTGGAAGTCTCCTTTATTATACTAATAAATTTATAATAAATTGCAACTGTATTAGATACGCGCCGAATTGACGTTGCGTCGGTTTGTAGCCGCGCCGAATTGACGTTGCGCCGAGTTGTCTCCGCGCTGAATTAACGATGCGCCGAATTAACGCCGCGCCGAGTTTTCTGCGTCGAATTGTCGTGGGCCAAATTTTCCGCGCCGAATTGACGTGGAACTTATAATTTTACCTCCGAATAAGGGTCTATATCATCAGGCATTAGGTTAATGTCGTCCACGTCCTCATTTTTGTCATAGTTACTAACATTTTCTGAGTCATTCACAGAGTCGAATAAGAAATTAATATACGCCGCAGTCATATAAAAAATAAATCTTCAAGCTATTAATACAAAATATGGAATTTTAAAATACTTTTAATTTTATTTTATAAGTTAGAATTTTAATAAAATAAATATTTAAAATTTAATTATTATTGTTTATTTTTTTTATATCAGTATTTATTCGAATAAGAAATTAAAATTAAAATATGCCGCAGTCATATAAATAATAATTTTAAAACAAAATATTAATACAAAATATGGTATTTTAAAATATAATTTTATTTTATATCTTAGAATTTTATTAAATTAATTATTAGATTAAATATATTTAATTAAAAAGATTCAATACCATACTGTATGATGGTATTGTATAATTTATATACAACACATGTATGCATTTTTGTTTTTTTATATTTAAAATTTTTTTAAAAAAATGTCATAAAATTGACTTAACTTCAACACATGAGGATCGATTGAATCAATAAAAACACATAATGCCATCCCAGATAAAAATATTTTGTTTAAAAATAAAATATATTTTTAATCTAATCTAGTAAATAATCATAATAGAATTTTTTTTCTTATTTTTTATATTTATAAATTTAAATATAATAAATCTTGTATTTTTTGAGTTTTAAAATAATTTCCGGTATTAGAAAAAGAGGATTCAAAACAACAGACCGGTCATGACACCTTCATTAAATGTGTCAGTATGTCTAGATTTAATAGTATCGCTATGTCCTATCATAGTTCAGAATTAAGTACGAACTTTCTGGCCAGATTTGTTTAATTTTATCGCTATTTTTTAAACACGTATATTTATTTTTTTCTTCTAATTTTATATATGTATCTTGGACAAGTACATTTGATATTATTAAAATATTTTAATAGTTATTAACCATTAATGACTAAATAAAATAATTACCTAAAAGAGGGACTATAAATATACTTAATATATATTAAATACAGATGAGGAGGAATGTTAAAGAAGATTCACCCGTCATCTCATAGTTTACATGTCTGTCTTATATAAAATTCAAAATATGGTTGAGATATAATTTCAAAATATTCAGATACCTGCAAAATATTTTATTATTTGAGAATATTATTCAATCAAAAAAATGTAAATAAGAATTTTTTTGAGTATTCAATCAAAAAATGTTAATAAAAATTTATTTGATCAAGTAAAATGAGGAATAAGTTAATGAAGTAAATAATTGGTATTCATAATTCAAGTTGGAAGTCTTAAGTAATAAAATGTAAATAACAGATCAAACATCTTAATAATTAATTTAAAATATTCGTCCTCTAGTCGACACAAATTGACGACTCAAGTTGAAATTTTTAAGTACAAAAATGTAAATAATAGAATCATAAATAATAACAATTAATATGAACTATTCGTCCTTTAATCTACTCAACTATATATGTATTCACGACTCAACTGGAAGTCTAAAGTAAAAAATGTAAAAACAAAAAATATCTTAATTAATAATATTAAAAATATTCGTCCTCTAGTCGACTCATGTTCATAGAACTTTTCTTCCTCTTGTCGACTCAACTTCAAATATATAATTCTTATTCACGTCAAGACTCAAGTTGGAAGTCTAAAGTAAAAAAATATAAAAAACAAAAAATATTTTTATAATAACTAATTTGGAATATTCATCATATAGTCGACTCATTTATATAATTCTTTTCAGTTTTCACAATTCAAATTAGAAGTCTAAAGTAAAAAAATGTAAAAAGTAGAAAAAATATTTAATAAATAATAATTAATTTTAAATATTCATCCTCTAATCGACTTAAATTGACGACTCAAGTTCAGAGAACTATTCGTCCTCTAGTCGATAACTATATATTTTGTATTCACAACTCAAGTTGGAGATCTAAAGTAAAAAGTAAATAACAACAAATATATTAAATAATAATAACTAATTTGAAATATTCGTCCTCTAGTCGACTCAAGTTCATAGAACTATTGGTCCTCTAATCGACTCAATTATTTAATTATATTCACGAGTCACGACTCAAGTTGGAAGTCGAATAGTAAAATACAAAAACTATCTTAATTAATAATAATATATCTGAAATATTCGTCCTCTAGTCGACTCAAGTTCATAAAATATTCATCCTCTAGTCGACTAGGGGACGAATATTTTAAGAAATTAAGTTCACGACTTGAGTTCACAACTTGAGTCGACTTGAGTTCACGACTCGAGTCGACTTGAGTTCACAACTTGGGTCGACTTGAGTTCACGACTCGAGTCGACTTGTGTTCACGACTCGAGTTCACGACTTGAGTTTGAGTTAGTCGACATATTCGACTAACGACTCGAGACTCTGAGTCGGAGTCGGGTGAACTCGACTTTTTAACAACACTAATAGAGGGTTTAAAATTTTTTTCGAATCATATTTTCAAAGTTTATAAAAATACAAAGAAAATTTTTCATAGTAATGAAATATACAAATTTACAGGGCGAGGTCATAAAATGTTGTTATCGGTCAAATCATGATATTTTTAAAATATTTTTTGGGATAATGTTTTACATGTATTTATAGATATATAAAAAAAATAAACATTTTTCAATTAATATTACTACCAAATTTGGTTGATCAAAAATTTAATAAGTGATCGGGTTTGAGCTCGGAATTCGGTCAAATCTTAATATTTTCAAAAAATTATTTGGGATAATGTTTAACACCTTATTGTTCACTTATAAACCAAAAATGAAGAATTTTCCATGGAGAGCGCCAGCAACGTAGTATTTTGGTTTCAAATCGGTTATCGGTCAAATCATGATATTTTTAAAATATTTTTTGGGATAATGATTTGCACGTATTTATAGATAAATTAACCAAAAATGATCATATTCCAAATAATATTACCACCAAATTTGGTAGATCGAATATTTAGTAAGTGGCTGGTTTTGAGCTCGGAATTCGGTCAAATCTTAATATTTTCAAAAAATTATTTAGGATAATACTTAACACCTTATTGTTCACTTATAAACTAAAAATGAAGAATTTCCCACGGAGAGCGCCAGCAATGCAGTATTTCGTTCAAATCGGTTATCGGTCAAATCACGATATTTTTTAAATATTTTTTGTGATAATGATTTACACATATTTATAGATAAATTAACCATAAATAAACATTTTCCAAATAATATTACTACCAAATTTGGTAGATCGAATATTTAGTAAGTGGTCGGTTTTGAGCTCGCCATTCGGTCAAATCATAATATTTTCAAAAAATAAATTAGGATAATGCTTAACACGTTATTGTATAAACCAAAAATGAAGAATTTACCATGCATAACGCTAGCAAGGCAGTATTTAGTCATTGGGCCGGTTTCAAGTCGGTTTTCTGTCAAATCACGATATTTTTAAAATATTTTTTGGGATAAGGATTTACATGTATATATAGATATTTAAACCAAAAATGAACATTTTCCAAATAATATTACTACCAAATTTGGTAGATCGAATATTTAGTAAGTGGTCGGTTTTGAGCTCGCCATTCGGTCAAATCTTAATCTTTAAAAATTTTATTTAGGATAATGCTTAACACCTTATTGTTCACTATTAAACCAAAAATGCCATGGAGAGCGCCAGCAACGCAGTATTTCGGTTTCAAATCATCGGTCAAATCACGATATTTTTTAAATATTTTTTGGGATAATGATTTGCACGTATTTACAGATAAATTAACCAAAAATGAACATTTTCCAAATAATATTACTACCAAATTTGGTAGATCGAATATTTAGTAAGTGGTCGGTTTTGAGCTCGCCATTCGGTCAAATCATAATATTTTCAAAAAATTAATTAGGATAATGTTTAACACCTAAATATCACGTATAAACCAAAAATGACGAGATTTTGATCAATAACGCCAGCAATATGTTCCTTACATACTTTCTACTTTTTCGATTCTAAACCTACTCATTAATTAAATGTCAAAGAAACCTCTATTTTTTAAATTATTTTTAGGTTTTTCACATGTATTTACACCCAAATACAAAAAAAGCGCTATCCAATATTTATTCTGGTTTCCTAAGAATATATTTTCATATTTATGTATTTAACGCCCTCTTATGGATATAAATTTGTTAAATTTTGTAATTGAAAAATAAAATTAAGTTGTAATAAGCTAGTAAATATTTTTTTTTTCCAATAATATTAAGTAAAAATAGAATTTTAAATTGTTTGATATTTAATATCAATTTTTACTTAATTAAAAATTGATTTATGTAAAATAAAAAAAATGTTTTTTAAAATTTTTTTTAAAAGATATTATATCATCAAATTATGATTGATTATGATTAATTGCTTTTAGCAAGGTAGTTTCGCAAGGCAATTTATCAAGAGAGTATTTAGTCATACCGCATCTATTGCAGGATGAGTAATAAAATGTTTAATTTTTAAAATTATTTATAACTAAATAAATAACGTTAAATACTTGAATGCAATTTGTTATTATATTTATTATCAAAACCATTTATTAGTAAAATTAATTATAATAATAACTGTAATATATTATATAACTGTCAAATACGTCTATAAAAGTGGCATTATATCTAATATTTTATAAACAATAGTAGAGGATTATAAACTATATGTTTACTTACTTTTTATAAAGAAATCTCTTTTATACTTATTTGGACCTTGAAAATATTTTTAAAGTATGATAATAAAATTTCAAAATAAATAAACAGTTTTTTAGTCATTTTGAACTCGGCTAATTAAAATATTAAATTTGTTAATTTTCAAATAATATATGATTATATTTATTTAATTAGGGTTAAATAATAATTTAAATAATAAAAGTCAATTAAACTTCAACTGTTAAAGCTAAATTAATATTTAGTGAGTTATTGATATTATATTTTTAATACAGAATTTGATCGCATGCTGACATAGTGAAAATATAATTTTATGTATTAATCTAATAATTAAAATAATATTCATTTAATAAAAATTTAAATAGTCTTATTAATTTCTAAATAATAAATTATATTTATATATTACTTAATGGAATTATAAAAGAAATCATTCAGTGGGCAATCAAAAAAAATTTTTTAGTTCAAGAGG